TGATTGCAGTTAGCGGTGGGAGTGCTTTGTTTGACTTGGGTGAGAACATTCAGCCCGGGTTCCAGCTCCTGATTCTTAGTAGTTACCTTTGCGGAATTGTTTGTGTGTGGACATTAGTTTGGATTGTTGAACCTCAGTTAAGTAGTCTGCCAGCACTCTGCCATCTAGATTCACAATGAATGTAGGATGTTTGAGCAAGGTATAGGAGGGAAATCAGTCCCTGTGGGATCACATTCCAGCATTAGTCAGTGCTTAAGGAGAGGAAATGGAAAAATGGGCAATCAAAATAAAGTGTATGCCCTGAACTTTCCACAAGTCCTCTTCCATATCTGTAAGAAATAATGTCCCTTCTCCATAGCTTTAGAAATAACTCTACTCTTATTTCACAATCTTTTTTTTCTCTCTTCTAAATGTCACTCTTTTCAAAATGGGGTGGGGAAAATGAGGGTTTTTACATGACAAAGATTTTTGTGTTTTTAATCTTGAGACTTTAATTGCTTTGTAAATGATCCACGGAACATTCTTAGTCAATAAAGGCATTTTGCCTCGATGCAGAGGCAGGAGCTGTTTTGCCGCAAGTGAACAGAAAGTGTTGGGTGAGTCGATACCAAATCATTACTGCGACCAATTCAAAAATGGCAGAGGCCTGGATAAATGTTGGAACGGTTACCTTCTCAGATGGAAATTAGAGCATAAGAACGAAAACTTCCATGTTGAAATACCTCCATGTGCTTCAAAGCTAATAACTGAAGTATAATAATAATAATCCTTGCATTTGATATAGTGCCTTATCACGTCATAGAGAAGTCTCAAAGCGCTTCACAGAATATACCGTAAAGTGGATTGACTGTATATTTTGTGGCCGAAATGCGGCAGCTAATTGCGCACAGTAATGTCCCACAAACAGTTGTGGATTGAAAGCGTAGTGACTTTTCGGCAGACGTATTGGAATACAAAACAAAGCCAAAAAATGGGGTAGCATTTACTGGCAAGTATGACCACAAGTGACTGCTACATAGTGATTTTATTTTACCCGGTCACTCTTTTCAAGCAAGATAGTTGGTTTAAGGAGATTGCTAATTCAATGTCTTAGCATTTCTTATTCAGCCTTCATCTTATCCTCCTGGTCTTCCTTTTGCCATGAACGCGTGCAATTGAAATCTTCTAGTGAAAATTTGCTGTCAATGAAAGGACTAAAATGTTGAGCCCTGATCATGCATCTAGGCATGCACTGCAATTAATATCTGAAATTTGTCATGCTTTTTATTTATCTGTGCAGGAGTCCGAGTGGGTGCCTTCATGGATATTGTTGACACATTTAATCCCTTGATATCCACCGACCACTTGGATGACACCTTGTTTTTAGAGCCAAACTTAGAAAGTGAAGTGTGTGAGGATTTTGGCAGAGAATCAGACATCCTGGAAGGTTCTTTGAGAAATATGCTGAGTGACAAAGATCCTATGCTAGGATCTGCTAGTACACAGTTCAGCCTGCCCTTTTCAGATAATGAAGATGGCAACTTTCAGCTAACTTGCTCCACAGGTAGGTCTAAACTTTTGGCTCCCGTGCCTACAAAACAGCAGTGTGGGCTGATGCAGCCATTCAGTACTTACAAACGTGAATTGGGTGGGCAGGGCTCTCCCTCGGTCGATGTCCTTAGGTCGATTAGTTTTCAAACTAAATTACAATTTACATTTGTACCTCTAGAGAAATCGAGGCAAAGATATTTTTATTATCCAATGGAAAATATATCCAGTAGCAGTAAGTTGATTATTGAAAACTACTTTTTGTGGCAGGATTGGGTAGTTTTAACAATAGGGAACTCTCCTTAACAACCATCTGCCATCTGGTCTACTGGGAAAAACCTGGTGCCTTGCCTATGAATTCCTTTTTATCCTGTTCATATTATATTGCAAGTTCTTTTCAAATTTGTTGTACATTTATCCACCACTTGAGGCAGATGGACTTCAGCACTGTACTGTGTGTTTTTAGGCATTTGGTAAGCATTGTAACACTTAGTACAAAGCATTTTAGACATGACTGGAAGGAACAATTGCAGCAGATGCATTATTGTCAGTTCAGCATTCGGAGAGCAAATAAATGGTTTCTAGGCACATCTTCTTGTTGGAGTGGAGCCATGCAGTATGCTTTCTGCCAGCAACAAAGTCGTCTTTTTCATGACTTGGTCTTTCAGTTGTATTGATCGTCATGTTATGAGGGTAGTTTGTATAAGCAGCGAGTTCGTTCTTTTGATGTTCCCAAATCTACCTCTCGATTTAAATTGTGCCTCATTATAATTGCCTTGTCAGTTATATAATTGACCCTAGAAAGCATTTATTATCAACAACAACAAGATTACATTTGTATAGCGCCTTTAATGTTGGGAGGACGTCCCAAGGTGCTGGACAGGGTACAGCATTTCAGACCTGAGCTGGCGTCAGGGAGGCTAAGGGGGAGCGAGGCGGAGTGATTGGAGGATGGAATTACAGAGATTGGGAGCAGAGTGGCTGAAGGATCTTCTGCCAATGGTCATATCAAAGCCATAATCATAATATAATTATTAATTATATATAATTAAAAATAACATAATCAGCGCCAATATCAAGGCAATATTTACAGATTTTCAAGTAAAAGAGGCTGGTATAATTTATACCTATTATAAATTGAATTGCTTTGTACTTGGAAGAGTGCATCTTCAAGTATATTAAATATATACATTTCTAGGTTTTGTCTAATGATAGGGCTAATAATGACTTTTCGTCTAGTATAATGAGAACGTATACATATCTGGCGGTTGCATATTAATTACAGATGTAAAGTACATTGGCATTTTAATAATAATAATAATCGCATTTGATATAGTGCTTTTCACGTCGGGAGGACGTCCCAAAGAGCTTCACAGAATATACTGTAAAGTGAATTGACTGTATATTTGTGGGCGAACGTGACAGCCAATTGCGCACAGCAATGCCCACAAACAGTTGTAGATTGAAAATGACCAATTTATTATTGTTTTGTTCTGGAGGGATTATTATTAGGCTCTGTGTGGAGTAAGGAAACTTGCCCAAGGTTTCGCCCTCTGCCTGGAAATGAACTCAGGTCTCTCGCTTGCAAAGCGAGTGCTCTAACCACTGAGCTACAGGACTCCCACATGTTAACAAGCAGTTCTGTCATTTTGGCAAGCTTTTTTTTGTAACCCTTGAAGTCGAGCAGACTTATAGATGCATTTGTAGATGAGGGAATAATTGAACTTCTTGATTTAAAAAAAGGGCAAATGAGTTTGGATTTTGTTTGAGAAGTTTTATATTTAATGGGCTTTCATGAAATATATTTGTAATACCTAATTAATTGCAAATATGTATTTGAAAACTTTAATTGTCACCTACTGATAATGCTTGTAAAAGGATGCTTGGTAGATGGACGTTTTACTGATTTACTATCTTAACATAATAAGGGACCAATTCTTTTGAAAGGAAGCACAAGGTTTTGTTGGAATTAGAGATTAAGCGTTTGAGTTTAGTTCAACATACTTTTGATACCGTTGCTCACAGGCTTGTAGTAACAATTCAACTTTATCTTACTTTAGTATATCAACTTTTTATGTGCTAATATTAAAAAATACTGTATCTGTGAAAATGTTTGGAATGCAAAGCTGTAATAGATTCAAGGGATTTGGGATGTGATTAAGTAATAAGTCTGCTGTTCAGTGTTGTACTTTTACAGTATATTGGGAGGTTAGCGATGTGGATTTTCCTGGCACTATCCCAGTTTTTATTATGTCCCCATCATTGCCAGTGCAAGCTTTTGCAGTACAATGATTTCTTATCATAGCATTCAGCATTCTTTGCCTCGTTAAGAGAAACAAGCCTTAAGGGACATTGTAAATAAAATCTTTTTATTGCCCTACAGACACAGCCTTAACTACGGTGATACTGTATGTAGGATTTAGGTGGACTCAAAGACAACTTCAAAATTAATTTCCCTGAGAACACAGAAAACCTATTCTGATCAGAGGCAGGAGGAAAGTGCTATCATTTGGAAATGGGGTGGGGGAGAGAAAGGGAAGGTTTCATTTAGGTGGTTCCAGGTAATATTTTTATTGTCAAAACATCTAACCAACAAGTGCATCATTCTTTAGGACTATTAACATTTTTTAAAAATTCTTTTGGGGTCTATTTTTGAGTTAAAATCTGGGAGAAAGTCTATGGTCGGACAAAAATTGATACAAAAAGGGTACATTTGGCGCACATTTTTTTCTGCCCTGCGTGTGTGTGTGTGTGTGTGTGTGTGTGTGCGCGAGAGAGAATGAATTGCTAACATTCAATCTCAAAACTATAAGAAAGTAAATTTTACCAGATCAATTTTCTTCTCCGAAAAAAACAGTATTGCTTTGTGAAAATGAGTTTTAGATAACTAATGGTCCTCAAATGATTTTTCACGATAACATTCTGCGGCTATTATCAGGATTGCGGCCTTTTATGGTGTCCTGTCTGATAGCAGCAAATGTTTCTCATGTGTATCATTGCCTATCATTTGGAAGGGCCGTTTGTTTAGCTCAGCCATAATTAGATTGGTCTGTTGCAGGTTAGCGAGCGCTTGAAGAGGCCTCATTCTTTGTTCGCCTCCGTTGCCAGAGTTGCTGGAGTTCTGGAAGCAAGCAAACATTTTGCTCAGACCATCCCCTTGATATGATGTGCATTGATTTAGTGGGCAGCAATCCCCGTTTTATGAGGACTGGAGCAGACCTTTTACTATGTTAAATTCAAAGTTCTCCACGAAATATATGGTTCTGTTCTACACAAAATGTCTTCCAGCCCACCTGTAACCACAGCTCTTTTTTGGTGTGCGGAACAAAAAAAAATCACACACTTACATGGTCATTTCTAACCGCGCTTTTAATTTAGCATAGGAATGGGCTAACTTTAAAGCTTGTGTGATTTAGATGATTATAAAATCCAGATATCTCTTCCTCATGCTTTTTTTGTCCTTTTTTTTAAAGTATCTGGACTTGAACTGCCAGATGAGAGTGGTGTAAAAGAGAGTAGTCTTGATACCATGGAGGAAGAGGACTTGTCAGAGTTGTGCCGGAAAGGCAAGGCTAAATCTCCAAAAGCAACTTCACAATCGTCCAGAAAATCTCCTCGTTTGTTGGCACAAGGTAAAATGTCTTCACATTTGGTTTTAATTATATTAAAAAAAACTAGAATATATTTTTAGAGTTTTTAGTTAAGAAATTGTTTTAATGTATCGAATATATGATGGTGGATATGTAGTCCGGTTTTATTTGTTTAATTTAAAGGCACATGAATGTATCCTCCTAACCTCTCTACCCTTCTGACCTCTCTCTTCACTCCACTGCTCGCTGTCTCTGCTCCTCAGCCTCCTGCAAAACCCTTGTGCCCCCCCCACTCTACCATCGGCGGCCGCACTTTCAACCACTAAACTTTGGAACTCTCTTCCTCAATCCCTCCAACTTGCCCCCTCCTTCCCCTTTTTTAGATCATGACTAAAGAACCTTCCACTTCAACCGTGCTTATAGTCACTTCCTCCCTTCCCCTGGCTCGGTGGCAGGCTCCGCCACTGTTGGCAGTCTGAGGTGCTGTCCCGCTTGAAGGGCGCTATATAAATGAAAGTTGCTTTGAATGTATAATATTATATCTCTAAACTATTTGTATTCTCATGATTAATCAATAAAAGGGTAGATTGGTTCAAAGTAGGTTTTAGTTGCAAATGAATGGTTATGAACTAATGAGTGGAAGGTTAATATTTGGTTATGTTTGGCCTGGTTGAATACAAGAGTACTTAACATTGTCAGACATGAAACAAGTGCTGAATGAGGATGAAAAAGAAAAGTTTGTATTCTAAGGTGACTCTCCATTAACGCATCACTGGTGAGTTCTGATTTGAAGTTGGGATTGCTTGGTATTTAACAGGGTGAGCATTGATTTCAGTCCTTCGATTTAACTTGATCAAATTGAATTCAATGTATAACAATTGTTTATGTTGAACTTATTTCAATAAATAATTCTGCTTATAAACCTTGCCAGATAGTCTTCAAATTAATTCACTAGGCTGTTGAAAGTACTTTGTCCGCGCCCCCAACCTTATTATCTCCAGTAAAATTTTCTTAATCAAAATCTTCTTGATTATAACTGAATGCTTGTTTGTTAGTTTGTTCTTCCTGAGTTGGGTGGCTCTGGGTTGGCTCTTCTAAAGTTAATGCCACTAAAATAGTTGGTCTCCATGATAATAATACTCATCCTTGCAATTGATATAGAGCCTTATATTGAAATGTCTCAAACCGCTTCACAGAATATACTATAAAGTGAATTGACTGTATTTTGTGGGTGAAATACAATAGCTTTTAAATGAAAATTTTAAACCATTTTGAGAGGTTATATTTTTTCGGATGGGTTGAGTTAGGTAGGCAATGGGGGTACTTTCCTAATAATAACTTATGTTTACATCACAATCTACACAACAGGTTAACATGTTTTTCTCTTTCTTTTAAAAACAAGAAACTGTTCGGAATCTTCGGAACAGTACCATTGCCAAGCGTTCCAGTCCGGCTAATTTATCCCCTGTAAAGAGGAAGGAACCAATGAAAAACCCTTCTGCTGGAACTAGCACATCAAAACCACAAGATCAGCAGGAAAAGCCAGCCAAGCAAAAAACTGAAGCAACGGATAAACCACAGCAAGAGAACGTGTCCGAGAATCTGCAAAGCGATGAGCTAACGGATTGTGGAACTGCAGAATCGGAATCTGTAGCTTCGAGGAGGCTTACACTGAGATCGATGGGAAAGTGTGTTGTTCCTGACAGTGAACTTGAAAGAAGTCCTGGAAATTGCAAATCTCCAGAAGAACAACCATCAGACCAGAACATGGAGTTTGTTTCAGAAACGTCGTGTTGCAGAGAACCATTGATGGTCTTAGAGCCAGAAGAAACTCCTCCAGCTACCTTGGTGGAGGAGGTGGATAATGTCCAATCTGGAGAAGTACAAGTTGAATCAGGAAGTCCGAATCCAATTGAGTCTGCTTTGGAATTGCCATGTTCCTCAAAATCACTAACAGAGATGGAGACGGACATAACTCAGGATTCTATGATGGAGAGTGCTGATGTTGAGAAAGTTGCAAATGACAACACTGATGGGGACGTGAAAGCAGAATCTACAGATAACAGTTCTCTTAAGTCTGCTTTGGAATCGCAGCATTCTACAAAATCATTAATAGGCCCAGAGGAAGTTGAAATGCTGCAGGATGATACATTAGCTGATGATCTTCAAACAATTATTGAAAGTGATGTCCTTTGTCGAGACATCCAAACTGCTGTTGAAGAGCTAAAAGACTATATAGAAGAGCAGAATACACAACTGAATGCAAATGGCAAAAATGCAGTTACTGATGTCAATGAACAGAAAGATGAACCAAATGAGTTGGACCCAGTTACACCAAAAATTGGAACCCAGGGTGTAAGTTATGTGGAAGACCTTCTACCTAAAGTAGAAGACAAATTAGAGAATATGGCGGGTGAAGAATTAGACATACCCCTTGAATTAATTACTTGTATAAATGCTGCATGTGAGAAAGAGGCATTTGATACACCAAGTGCACTGACTTCAGGTGCTGACATCAGTGAAGTTGTCACAGAAAATATTTCATCTGCCGCTGAGGTGATTAAAAATGAACCTGAACTCATTGTTTCAGAAAAAAATGACGATGCGATTCCAAAGGAAAATCTTGAGCCAGGAATGAAGCAACCTACTTCCTCAGAGGTCATTGACATATCTATTGTTAGTGAATCTGAAGGAGATGATGGCTCTAGTAGTGATCCCATGATTTTGGGGAAGATACAAGATGAAACAACTGAGCAACAGATGGATATGAAGAATGAAGACATTGGGGATCTTTCAGAAAACAAGGAGCAAGAGGAAGGGGTTGCTGAAAAACCCACTGATGGGAACGATTCATTGCAGGAGAAACCAAAAGAAACCTTTCCGCAGCCCAAGAAATCCTCTTCAAAACATGAGAAGGCCGCATTGAAGCCTCAGCCTAAACTTGCACAAGAAACTGCAAAACCGGAGCAGACTGACAAAGTTCATCATCCGGAGAGAAAAAAAGCAAAGTGGGATATTCAGTCCTCTGAAACACTTCAACAATCCAAACCCCATACATTATCTGTAACTAAACGAAAGGCTGTAGACCAAGATGTACATCACCCTCACAAACCTGTTAAGTGTCTAAAAACACAACTTGCACAGGATGCAAAAGCCAAAATTGAGCAGCCGCAGAAGAAAAGCTTTTGTAAACCATCTCCGGATTCCCAGGCAGGAAGAATGCAGACTGCATTTCACGATAAATCTAAAAAAACAATCCAGGTCCCTAAGCATGGCTCTAAACCTATTCCCAGACTGAGTCATACTTCAGCCAAGCAGTTGACTCATTTTGGCCAGAAGAGTGTTGCTTCAACAGCAGGTAAAATCGTTTCTCAACAGGGAGATACTACAAAGGAAAAAGACAAAGGAAAAGTGGTGGAACTTTCTTCTGAGGATGATAAAGAGAAACTGAAAGCAAAAAGGAGCGAGAAAGGGATTGCCCCTCGGCAGAGAAGGAGCAGTAAAAGCTTGTCGCTGGATGAACCACCTTTGTTTATTCCAGACAATTTACCTGCAGTCAAAAAGGAAGGTGATGTAGAGCATTCCACAGATATTCCAACCCCTGAACTATGGGATCCCAAAAAGTTATGTGGGTTTTGTAAGAAAGCTCACAATAGCAGGTATGTTCCAATGTTAAATATGTGTGAATACTTGTGCACATTGTTTGTAAATGTGTTGTTCTAACTAACTACTTAATATTAGAAAGTAAGGGAAGGAGTCATTTATATTTTTTTCAGTTTGTAGATAACAACCAAAAAATACTTCGAGAGCCATAATCTCACTGGGATTTCACAAACCTGGTTCCTAAAGTATAGTGTGATTACTGTTGTTCTTAGTTACTGAAAGCATTAAACAGTCAGTTGACTTAATTAGTGGTACAATCCATATTTATCGCATTGGATTTACTAGATGTGGATTTCCAACCCTCCCTCCCATCCCAACGCTGTTCTGAATGGTGACTTGTAAAACTGGGCTCTACTGTGCAATAGTATCTCATTAAATTGACTTTGAGATCCTTGTCCTTGCCTTCGAGATCCTTGTCCCTGCCTTCAAACCCTTCACAAGTAATTTTGCAATCTCTCCCCACTCTCTTGTTTGTACGGTTTGCTCTTAAGATTCTGGTTTATTGTTTGCTTCTCACTATTCACCATTGTGTATATCATATATATTTGCTTACCCAGAACAAAGTTTTGGAACTCCATCCCACATCCCTTTGCCTCGCCCCTCCTTTGCCTCCTACAAGGCTGTCTCAAGACCCCCCCTCTTTGACCGTACCTTCGGTCACCCTCCTAACCCTACCCTCCCTTCCCTGACCCCAATCCCCAGCTTGGATCCAAATCATTGACTGTCCAACTCCTTGGAACATCCTCCCAACATGAAAAGTGCTACACAAATGAATTGGTTGTTTTTGTAATTCATCTTTTAAAACGATTGAGCCTCTTGATTGTGAGTTTAACATCAAAACCTATTTTTATTTCACTTATGTTTCTGTTTTTAATTAAAAATTATGTAGGAGTTAATTTAAAATAGTACTCAGTTTTTCATAAGCATTCCATTAAACTGGATTTAAAAAAGGAACCACAACTTATTTATGAATCCCAGTTTTGAAGTGCATTTGTACTATCTCTTTGTACTATAAGTTTATTGATCTGCATTTTCATCTTCAGGTTTATGGTGGGCTGTGGAAGATGTGATGATTGGTTTCATGGAGATTGCGTTGGACTGTCGCTTACTCAAGCACAGCTACTGGAGAAAGAAGACAAAGAGTACATTTGTTTAAAGTGCTGTGCCGAGGAGGACAAAAAGATCCTACCAGTCAATCACAGCCACACAATCAAACATCAGACTTCACAGGATGACACGGAAAAATCAAAACCAGAATTATCCTGCGAGAATGTGGCACATTTAAAAAATGAAAAGCCAAGCCGTGCAGAAGAGCGAGATACGACAATGACAGGTCTGAAACCAAAAAGTGAAATGATAGAAAAAACTGAGCTCTCGTTAAATGACAAAAAGCACAAAGTCAAAATTTTAAAAAAGGTAAGCAGTGTGTGTTTCTGATCTTGTGTTTCATAATCTTAACTTTGAATCTATGCAGGTGTTTTGAGTTGCATTTTGAGTAAAAGCATATTCTCTGTTGCTGTTCTGAAATTCAGAATTGTTTACTATGGTCAGAATTTCTTACTACGGTGTAGTGTCCCATAAAACTTTTGTGTTTCTCATTCTCCCCCTCGTTCAAATTTCTTCCCTCTTTCGAAGGCATCGACTCACAGGTACCAGATAAAGAGTACGTTCTTTAGTTGTGAGCCTGGACAGTAAATGCTGGATGTTTGTAGAACTCGGTCAAATCCTAACTTCACATGCAATTTCAGTGTAATTCTTTGAAATTCTCTTGAAAGGAGTAGGTATCCTTAGACTCTGAACCCAAAATATAGGGTTAGATTGGGGTTTGGTTGCAGCTTCAGTGACTGAATCTATATAAAAGCGTTGTGTAAATATAAATTGTCGTTAACACATTTATCAGAGGAGTGGGGGACGCGGAGGGGCAAGTGGATTGTTTTTACTTAACTGGGTGTCGTGAAGGAAGACCTTAAACTTGAGTGAAATGTAAAGCTTGGCTGGACGGACTCTTAACACCTCTATCTTTTTAAAAAGTTAACAGTAAGACTACACATACGAAGTGCACATTTCCACTAGTCATGGGAGTAAAACCTTAATGCTTGTCTAAAAGTCAGAAACCAAAAGCCCCAGTTCCATCTAAGGTAAGATGGTCTTTACCAGATTCCTAAGAAATAAATGATCTGATCCCCATCAGGTTACACATTTGTGTTACAAGTGCTCAGGCATCAGGAAAACCCATTAACCAAAGTGTGAACCCAGTCAGCTTCACGCTTTGGTCTATGGATTTTTCTGCAGGCTTTGACTCAATTGAGAATTGCCTGGTGTCAGATCCACTGGGCAGCCTTTGGTAGTACTACTGGTTCAAGCAGTGGCTCAATACTTTTATAGTTTCATCAAGGAGCTTTTTTTAAAAAAAAAGCCCAGATGTTGTTTGACCTTCCATTCAAATAATGGAAATAATCTTGATGTCTTTACTCAACTCGCTCTTAACAACCCTGAATCTCTTCTGCCGCTCTGGTAGGCCTGAAACCATTGTTCTTTGTGGACTTTATCTCATTGAATATCTCATTTTGTCTCTTTTATGCGTTTGTTTTTCAAGACAGAAGAACATATGCGGTCTTAACTCATCACTCTTTAACGCTATGTATCAGCCTTGTTATTACACTCGATATTGCTTCTGAGATGAAGATTTTGTGATGCGGCAATTAGAATTATAAACAGTTTCCCCAGGTGTGTCTTGATCAGAGAACTTAACACCTGAATAACATGAGCATGAATTCTGGGAATTTGATTTCATTTAACCAGTTCTGTTCCATCTAATAGAATACACTTGTGTATACTTCTTAAACCTAGTATCTTTCATTATCTGTATAGAACTTTATTCTTTATTTGCCATTTATATTCTCCCACTTGTTGGTGACATCATCCACAGGCATGGATCCATATTCACTTGACTATGAATGATACCCTACTCTCTTTCTCTGCCTCTAACCTTGATTCCAGGATGAATGCTGTTCTGCGCTCTGAGATGCTGCCTTGCGTGAAGGATGCTATATAAATGCAAGTTGTTGTTGTTTGTTGTTCTGACCGATTGCTTGTAAGACCTGGAGGAGTTCTAACTTCCTTCAGTTGAATGTCAACAAGACAGGTTCTCCTGCTTGACTCCTGTCAGCATCTTCTCACCTCGGAGGCATCAAACTGCAAAGGTGCTCACTCTGCCTTATAGAGGTTGTACAGAATCTCAGTGTCTTGTTCCTGCTCCCCCCCAACAGCCTTTCAGGCCCTACATCCTGGCTCTCCGCTTGCCCTCAGCCCTGACATCTTACCTGTCTTTTCTGTTCCTTTCCCCCTGGGTGTCAAGATACTTGTTAAGACGCCTTCATCATATCCAAATTGATTATTGCAATACCCTGCTCGCAAGAATTCCCAGCTCCTTTCTACATAAGCTGTCCTTATCGCCTCCATCTTCACTAGGCTTCACTGGGTCCCCAGTGGATCATATTCCAGATCCTTATGTTCATTTCCCTCCACCGGCATGCCTTTCCCTTCCTCTCCCGCCTAGGTTCAATGAACACTGACTGGCTTCTCTCTCCACCCCCCATCCCCGGATTCTTTCCACGATCGTCGGGCAAGCTTCCAGACATTCTGTGCCACTCTCTGGAACACCTTCCCGGTGTCTGCCTCGCCCACCCTTCCTCCCCACCTTTAAAGCCTGCCTTATGATTTCCCTTTTCCACCCCCTTCCAAGCTTTGGTCCCATTCAGTTCTATGACATTCTTGCTCTGTAAATGTTGGTTGGTGGTTGTTGATTAACATCTGCTTCAGAACCACTTTTCCACTTCATACCCTTCTCTGCTTTCAAAATATTTCTAAAACCAACTTCTTTGCGTTCTACCCCCTCCCCATCCTACTCCGCCACCCACTCTTTGTGAAGTGCTTTGAAATATTTTCCTACTTGGAAGGTACTCTCTATGTGCTAATTATTCTAAATAGTTTAGGAGTTGAACATTTTGTTTTACCAAATCTCTAGAACATGACTTTAATGTCATGGATTGTCCAGTGAAGGATTCAAGTATTAGCATTGGGTTAGCATTCACCAAAACATGTCTTAGTCAGATAAGTGACAATAAAACTTCACCTTTTTGTTGGCAGCTTGAAAAGCCAATTTAGCAATTAGACCAATTTTATACTCGGCATATTTGGATAGATGGCATCATTTATTATCCCCAGCTCCAACCAAAGACATAGTTAAATTTGGAGGTGTCACCAATTTAGGTTAACTGTAGAATCAAGAGGAGGCAGCAAAGGTCCTACAAGGAGAGCTTGAGAGGGTATGTGCATGGGCTGATAACTGGCAAATTATGTTTTAATACTGCTAAATGCAAGTTTCTACATATAAGAACCAAGAATAGGAAACACAAATACTTCATGAATGGGGTTGAATTTACCAAAGGGGGAAAGCTGAAAGAGATCTAGGGGTGTTAGTTTAATCATCGCGCACCATGTCAAAACAGAATGCTGCATTATATTGCTAAATCAGTTGAGTTTAGATCCCGGATGTCATACTTCGGCTGCAGAGTTCTCTAGTGAGATCGCACCCAGAGTACTACAATTGAGTTCTGGTCACTGTGCCCAGGCCCTGAAGGCAGTGCAGAGAAGACCAACGAGGACGATCTCCAGTGTCGGAGGAATACATTATGAGCAACAATTAGACAAGCTGGGATTCTTCAGTCTTGAGAGAAGGCAACTAGGAGGGGATGCAATAGAGGACAAAGTAAATCCAGGTCAATACTTTAGGAATCACCAAGACAGTAGATCAAGAGGACATAGGTTTAGCATTGTAAAGGGCAATTTTAGGACAAGTACCAGAAAACTTTCTTTATGAGGAAGTAATTAACGGCTGGAACTAGTTGCCAGGAAGGATGGGTGAGGCCAGGACACGGGTCTCATTTAAAAGGTAGCTTGATGCTATGAAGGGGGGATATGGTAGGGTGGGTGTTCTGAAAGGATGAATTGGACAGGCCAAAGGGCCTTCTTCATCCAGACCAACCTTGTGATCATCTTGTGAAATGCCATTGACCTGGCTTCATGGTCATCAAGCATTGGAGATGAGGACAGGGTGAGGGGCGAAACTGCATGTATTGAAGGATTGTTTGCCTTGGTTCATATCACTAACTTCATGTCCTTGTAAACAAATTTTGATTTATATAGGTTTGCTTCTAGTTCAGGGCTATTTTGCATTTTTGTGCAGTTACATAATGTCATTTGTAAATTCACAATCAAACCGTCTGAGCCATGTCTCTTCAAGAATCCTGTTTTTAATGCGTCAGTAAAGTATGTTTGTAGTGGGAAATTATTTTATCCACTGCTGAAAGCTCATGCCGGGTTGTACGGGAAGTTACAGATTCTATTTTTTAAACAAAATTGAAATGTGCAATATATTTAGCCGCCTGAATGTAGATAATCTTTTCCGGAAGTGAAATTGCATACTTTCTCGAAGCAATAAAGCTCTATTTTTGAATTGAAAGGGAATAAAGTCAACATATTAAATCGTTCTTAGCAGGAATTGGAGTCCTTAGGCAAGTTTCCTTACTCCACACACTTCTGTTTTCCTAGCAGTAAGTCGGTACCGGTTGTTAGTCAATTAGCGGATCATTTTCCGGGTGTAATTATCCCTTTTTTTAAAAAAAAGTGGTCACTCAATTCACGATTGTTGGTGGAACACTGCTATGTGCAATTGGCTGCTGTGTTTTGCCCACAAAATACAGTCAATGCACTTTACAGTGTGTTCTGTGAAGCCCTTTAAAATATCTTAACTACATAATAAGGTACTGTTTCAAATGCAAGGATTATTATTGTGGAGTTCTGTAGCTTAGTGGTTAGAGCACTCGCCTCGCAAACGTAAGGATCTGGGTTTGTTTCCCAGGCAGGGCGAAAAGTTGGGCAAGTTTCCTTACTCCACGCGACTCTGTTTACCAAGCAGTAAATAGGAACTCGGTTGTTAGTCGATTGGCAGATCGCTTTTCCGGGGGGAAATAATAATATTTGATCTCTCAATCCATGACTGTTTGTGGGGGACACTGCTGTGTGCTGCTGCATTTTGCCCACAAAATATAGTCAATTCAGTTTACACTTCACTTTTCTGTGAAGCGCTTTGAGATACCTCAACTACGTGAACAGGTGCTATATCAAATGCAAGGATTATTATTAATACAATTGTGACAGTAGGTGAATATATGAATTGTGGACCAACACTAAGCTCAAAACACTTGTCCAGTCTCAAGGAATTCTAAGAAATCAAAATGTTAATTTTATGCTTGTTTTTTAATTAAATCGGCAACCAAGAAAATGACCACTAATTTCTTACCTTTCAGTTTTATTTAAGAAAGTAAACTTAACTATAAAATAAATTAACCATTGGCCCCTACCAATTTTTTGGATTTAAAACAACTGAAGCAGGAGAATTTGGAATCTCATTTGTTACAGAATGCTAAAGACCCAGTTAACTTGTTCTGTTGCATATAGCAATACAAGACTATGGGGAAAAGTAGCCTTTTTCTCTATTTGAGTGTTTAGCAGATTTTTAAATAAAATTACTATACATTACTTTTTTTAAAAAAAGAAAGCATTTCAATTTTAAAAGCTTTAAAATGCTAATTTTCTTTATTGTAATTAATTTGATCCTTAATTCCCCTCCGCGTGGGAGTCCCAAGACCGCGCACACAGCTTCCAGATTTCCCTTTGAGTGTCTTGAATTTATAATAAATGTTGCTTCATAATTGCACCATAACTGTCGGATGCTAATTGAATGAGAGAATTTCTCCTCCCATAATCCTGAAGTGGAAGGCACTATACCGAATGTAAGGATTCCCTCTATTAGAAATAACAATTAGTTTCACTCTTAAACTTGTCTGAATTATTTTCGAAAAAATAAAAGCGTTTACAATGTTTACATACTTAAGTTACCAAAGAGTTGCTTTCTCATCGTCGAAGGGGAAAAATGTGCATCACCCTGTCTGCTTGCTCACACCCAATTCATCGTGAAATCCTTGTGGTGGCATTGTTCGAGGCTTGGATGTAGGATACTACTGCTAACTTAGACTGAGAATATATGTGAAGAGACGAGCAAGATGAATTTAGATCAAAACCATTTTTAAAAATGATGTATACTGTACATGTCGCCTTGAAAATTGCTCTTTGAAAATCTTTCCCTGACATATCAATTAGCATCTTTTGAAAACCTTCAAGTCATGCTCACATTTTAGTTCTTGCCACAAGTGCATTGTAAAATGTGCATTAAACACGTAAACTACACTACCTTTTTGTAATTCAAAATGTAGTTTTACATATCCATTTGTATGATCATCTTTAGGAAAGTCTATCGCAATTCCTGTTACCTCTTCCAAATATTAAGTACTTTGTGAAAAGCAATTAAATATGAACTGTTCACCTTCCCTCTTCTGAGGTTATGTCCCTTTTGTTGTAGATTATTTTTGACTGTTAAATATATTAGAGTTCAAGTTATCTATTCTCTTTAGATTTTGAACACTTCCACAACATCTCCTTTTTTTCTCTTCATGGTGAATGTTCTCATTGTATTCCCTTCCAGTTTAATCCCTCATGCTAGCAATGATCCAGTTGTCTATGGCTGTACCCTGTCCACTAAATTTTTGATCAGCCAGGTATCTGACGTATGCGGAAACCTATCACCATGCTTAAGAGCATCCACACCAGGTTGAGCCACCTACATGGAAATTACGTGGTATTGTAATGCAGTAAGAATACATTTCCAAGCATCCATACTTGTCCGGTATCACTAATCTTAGAATTGTTGAATTACCAGTTACGTTTGCACAATCGCTTATAATGGAAGATTCGGTTAAAGTCTTCAAAACCTATTTCTGTGCTTTTGGCCACCTTTTCACTCCCTTTGGCTCATGCTCCTAGTCAAGTTGTGTTAAAGCTCTTTGAGATATCCTCCCAACACGAAACACACTATATAAATACAAATTGTTATTGTTTTGATAAGGGAAAAACCCTATTTATGAAAAATTCATTACATATGATCAAGGGAGCACTAATAATATCCAGGCTATATTAGTGTGTTTGTACTACCAAAGCAAAGGCCAAATGGGTCTCAATAGATTCTCCATGGAGACCTTTGAAAGCTGATGAAATGCAATATTCTGTTTTCTCCACTGAATTTTTAGTCTCAAGTTACATTAATGTTTTGTAGTAGCAATGTCTGGAGGATAGTCATTACGTCTGTGTAATGAGATTTCCTAACAGTGGAAATTTCATTACATACAGTCGACTTGTCAGCAGTATCATTCAGGGTGTATTAAGCGCTCCGAGACGCCATCCGGCGTGAAAGGTGCTATATAAACACACATTGCTTTTTTTTTTAAGAGTACCATAGCAAAACTAATTGCATCTGAATACACTCAACATGAAGCCCTTTTGAAGCTGGTGAAATGCATTCTTTTCACTATCCAGTCCTAATTTTTAGTCTTCAGTTACACCAAGGTTTCATGCTAACAGTATGTGGAAGAGTTAGCCCTGTAGCTTTTATTTAAGGGCTATTTTATGAAAAAATGCATATCAATGAAGACACCATAGCAAACCTTCAGATGAGACGTTAAACCGAGGTCCCGGCTGACTGTTAAGATGGACGTTAAGGATCTGTGGCACTGTTCCAAAAGAGAAGAGTTTCTCCCGGTGTCCTGGCCAACAGTCCCTCACTTGGTCACTCACTGCATGGCTGTTTGTGGGACATTTCTGTCTGCAAACTTCTGCCGGTTTATCCCCAAAATACAATCCACTTTACAGTGTATCCTGTGAATCGCTTTTAGATTGTAAAGTGAATTGACTGTATATTTTATGGGCAGAATGTTTTTTGATGAAAATTAGTTATTTTATTCTTTGGCCTTAATCCATTTCAAACATTATTTTCAATAGTTAGAAGAAGGCAATGCCTTAACAGCTTGACCAAACATGTCTTACTTAAATAACTTTAGGGCATTTCTCCCAGTGTCCTGGTCAACAGATAATATTGTCATTCACATTGTGAATGTTTGTGGGGACATTGCTGTGTACAATTTGGCAACCTCATTTACCTACAAATATAGTCCCTACACTTTACAGTAAATCCTGTGAAGCACATTGAGACATCCTCCCGAGATGAAAGGTGCTGTATCAAATTCAAAGATGAACTCCTTTTTTCATAATGTTATTGTTTCCATAATAATTCACTAAGACAAAGTTAACAGAAATGCTTGTCAGCTGTATCTGCCACTGAAATGTTCTGAATTCCTGTGGCTGGTTTCTGATTCATATCAACATGTGTTTTTTCTCAAACTCTTTAAATTAAATAATTTTAAAATAGCGATTTGTATATTATTACAACATGCTTCCAAATCAGTGAAGATTTGTGATTTGGAATTTCATCAAGATTTTTGTATTTTGCTGAAAACAAAATGTGTCATAACATGGGATTAAAGGTTTTGCTATGATTCAATAAACTGGCTGTCCAGGCTTGATAGGCTGAGTGCAGCCACTTGCTCCTATGTTCCTAATGTAATGGCAAAGCAGAAATTAGCTGTAAGGATTAATTTGTCAATAATTAATTCTTCCTGTGATCAATGTTATATGTAATACTGTACCATATGCTAATTCTGAAATTGTCTCGTCCAGGGCCCTTCTGCAAGGACCAGTTCTACTGAATCTAAGGATTCGGAGAGCAGGGATACAAAACGAACACATTTGGTAAATGAACGGTCTCCAGGACAGATAACGATGAGCACATCCCAACCACCAGAAGACAGGAAAGACAAGTTGCTCAAAGATCCTTCAGCCCCCCGGCTCGGTCAAGGGGAAAAACCTCCAAAACTAGGTACGTAATAATAATCTACTGTTGATTTGTGTTGCATATAAAAGGTGGCAAATATTAGCAAACTGAAAATAACTTGTTTACAAATGTGAACCTCGTTTTAGGATTTTACTTATTGTATATGGTACAGCAATAATATGGTACGTTAAGTTGGAAGGGGTGTCATATTTACTAACTATATACTTAGGAAGGACTGGCATTTTATCAAGTAATTCTCATGAGTAGTGCATATTTCAACCGCACTTATTTCACACAAGTTGCTTCTAATAGGTAAATCGTTTTCAGTGAAAATCATGGTTTTGGTAGCAGATTGTTGTAGACGTTTGACTGATGAAAGAAAATCTTAAGCTGACATGACCATACGGGGTAAATGAGTGTAAATACATATTAAATGAAAGCTTTTTTAAGTCAAATCAGCATTAGTCAATTACACCACTCTTGCATGCAATTCTCTGATGCTCCATGACAGGAAAACCAGTTCCTCATTACATTTATTTACCTTTTATTGGTAGATATGCACTAGATTAAACAGTAACAGTTGTTTGAGACATCTTGTTGACATCAGTAATCTAGCTCTGTAGAAACTCTCGCTTCTCAGCCAGACGGTTATGGTTTCAAGCCCTATGTCAGGACTTCGTACTCATAGTCTATGCTGACACTCCATTGCAGTGTTGAATGTGTGCCACATTATTGCATGTGCTATTCTTTAGATGAGACATTAAATCGAGGCGCCATCTGCATGTTCAGGTGAATGTTCACAAAATCGCAAGGTTGGTCTGGATAAAGAAGGCTCTTTGGCACATTTGATCTCATCCTTCCAAAACACTCCCTTTCATTCCTTCGTTAATAGATCTCATGGAACTATTGAGAAAGAGAAGTGAGTTTCTCCTGGTGTCCTGGCCAACAGTCTCCCAAATAAAATTGGTCATTCACTCCATGGTTGTTTGTGAGACATTGCTGTGCACACATGTTAGTAGATTAACGCCTAGTACATTTTTACATCGTCAAGGTTTTCTGTTTGAAAGGGGCAGAACCAATGTTTTGTGCCCTCTATGTATAGGAAAGCTTGAACGTTTGGGAACAACTTGCAACTCACAAACTATCTGCAGAATCCTCCTACAAAATGCAGTCATTACACTTTACAACATATCCTGTGAAGAGCTTTGAGACGTCCTCCTCATGTGAAATATAAGGATTATTATTTTGGTAAATGTTAATTGTTTTGAATTTATTTTCAGACCTAAAAGAAAAGCAACTGGCAAAGAAGAAACTCGAGAAAACAGCATCGAACAGTGCTTCAACCCCAGCTAATCCTTCCACAGCTCAACCAACCGTGGAGCAAATTAGACAGAATGTCCGCCATTCTCTAAAGGATATTCTTGCTAAAAGGTAACGGTGACAAGAAATTAAGAGGTCTTTTGTCCAACCTATGTTTTTAAAAGGTCTCAGTCAAATAATTGATGCAAGTTATGAAAATTCTGAAACAATTGCTCCCCAACTATTTATTTTGTTTTCCTTAAAGATAGGAAATACAAATATGTTTCTCACAAAATAATCTAACATGAACTGTTCCTAACTTCAGACTACATAGAATTACATAGCAAGGAAATGAGCCATTCAGCCAAACTAGACTATGCCTGTCTTTATACTCCACAAGATCCAGCACTCATCCTCCTATATTCCTCTAGTCCCTTCTCCTTCATGTATGCATCAAATGTTCTCTGAAATACATTGATGCTTTTTCCTTGACCTACATTCTCACATCCTCCGTGTGAAGAAGTTCCTCCTAAACTCCCTATTAGATCTACCACTAGATACTTAATATCTGTGCCCTCTCATTTTGGACAAGTGGAAATAGTCTTTCAACATTCACCTTATTGAATCCTTTCAGAATCTTAAACATCTTTATCAGTTCCGCTTAATTATCTCGAGGGGAAAGCTTGTCCAATCTTTCTTGATAGCCCTATCCACTCATTCCTGGTAATATACTTGCAAATCTATGCTCTATTCTCTCCAATATGGTGACCTGACCTGTACACAGCACTTCAAATATGGACTAACCAAAGTATTACTATATATATTGAACATTACTTCCCCACATGCAAGGATTTCTATTTCTACTCTTTATTATCTTGTCCAAAAGTACTGTTACTGCATTGTGTCAGGTTTTAACAACCTGGTTTAATTGATAGATGTAAACTTAAAAGTTACTTCTCAAATTGGATCTTTGAATCTTAGCAAATGTTGTGCATATTTTCAATAAATGCAGTGCTCAAAAGGTAGTCTTGGACCAGCTTGAGAGCTGATCTGGAGCCACAAGACTGACAAAAATATTCAGTACCAGTGAATTTAAAGCAATGTCCGACAATATCAATTCTTTTTGGAATAAAAACAGAAGTTGCTGGGAGCACTCAGCAGGTCAGGAAGCTTCTGTGAGGGGGAAGAAAGTGAGTTAACCTTTCAGGCCGATGACCTTTCATATGTTCTGAGGAAAGAAAGGTCATCGACCCAATGTTAACTCACTTTCCTCTCTCCAATAGTTGCTGCCTGACCTGCTGAGTGTTCCAATCGAATTCCGTTTTTATTTCAGATTTCCAGTATTTTGCATTCAATTCTTTTTGGGTTGGAGGCTCCGTTATAAAACTCTGGTCCCACTAAGTACAATCGAGGTTCTCCAGAACAGTTGGTGCCATCCATAAGAGGTGCATTAGATGGGGCTAGTAGAGAAGGCAAGTGCACATGTGAAAATAAATAGAGGATTTTTAGCTTTTTTAAAATATGCTGAGAATTTTTGTTTTCCATTTGGAATAGATACTTGGCTTTATTTCTCTTTTAAAAAGGTGTCATCTATTTCTAATAAAACAAAATGAAAACTGATCCTTCATTGGAACAGAAGAGAACAGAACACCAGCCACCCTTAGCACCATTGATCTCAAATTGTCTCAAGACCCTTGTGGGAGCAGTCCTTTAAGTTTATTGGCCCACTGGAGCAGTTTCACTGACTTTACCACTCCTGAAGTTTCCACCATCACTGAGGGCTTCTCATTGGGGTCGGCAGGTTGTGATTTTCTAGTCTGTGGCCTGCACAGGCTGGGAGAATAACACTAACTTGGGGCTTTTGGCTTTTCACCTGTTTCACATGTACACTTTACCCTCTTGATAGAAGTCACCTTACCTTCCACTGCACTCATTGTGGGTTGTAGATTTTTGGCTTGTCACACAGCTGTTTAGATGTTCCCTGCATTTCCTAGTTGTTGCTGCTTTGTGGCTTACCTCTGGTTCTGGATAGACCTTCTACTTCACCATTTTGCCAGATTCCTATGCCCAGCATTTGCCTAAAGCAGCTATTTGACCTTTCAGTTGCACAATAGCCTGGCAATTTGCTCCCAACGACTTCTGAGCTTTACTAGTCAAGTCTTCCCCTCACCTGGTCTGCAAGATGTGAGCTATTTCTGATTCAGTAGCAAGAGCATGATTCTGCCACTGCTTGCTTGCAAATTGGCCACTTGAGACCTTGGCTCGTCTCTCACCTGATCAGCGAACATCTAAACAGCTGTGTGGATTTCCAGGTATTATGTTTATCTTAGATCTCCACACCTCAAGTTTTTTTGATCGAATGACTGACTGTTGCTGTCAGGCACTTATAGGTGTGTGCACTAATATTAATCTGAGGTCATGATCATCATTATTCTTTTTGACAATGAACTTCTACTTTGCTCCAGACTTTCACAAACTGATATGAAGATTCCAGAGGAACGAGCTACAAAGGTTGCAGGCAGGATTGAGCGAGAGCTCTTTTCTTTCTTCCGGGACACGGATACCAAATACAAGAGCAAATACAGAAGCTTAATGTTCAACCTCAAAGATGCTAAAAATCAGGTATGTACACGTGTATACAGTGCAACACCATTATAATGTAGTTGGCTGAGGCCACTGTCTCAGCGTTGGAAGTGAGGCGTTAAAATGTCTGACTTCTAGATTATCGGCAGTTTTGAACAGCCTATGCAGATTCCTGTGGCTAAATATTGAAATTAGAATTTGAATGTTTGTAAATCGACTGATTAAAAAGTCTCAAAACTAAAGTAAAGGGAAGCAAAGGGGGTAATTAATTGCAAAGTATTTATAAGTATAATTTCAATATAACTTCATCATTGGCATAAATCGTTTCATTTATTATTTGGATATGAATATACAAATTATAATCGTGGTTTCTAATGTTTGAATCATTCCAGGTGTTGTTCAAACGAGTGTTAAAAGGTGACATCACACCTGGTCATCTAATTCGGATGAGTCCTGAGGAGCTGGCATCCAAGGAGCTAGCTGCCTGGAGAAAAAGAGAGAACAGACATGTAAGATGTGCTTTCTTGTTATTTTACGTTAAAGATCCCATGGCACTATTTCAAACAAGAAGGGAGTTTCTCCCGGTGTCCTGGCCAAAAATCCCTAAAACAAAATTGCCCACACTCCATGGCTGTTTCTGGGACACTGCTGTGGACAACTGGCTGCCATGTTTCACCCACAAAATGCACAACAATGTGATAAGACACTATCAAATGCAAGGATTATTATTATTATTACTATTTTTCTCAAGCTACGAATAATTCCTCTTTGCTTTTACGATGCACTTGAGGAGCATTTGAAGCATCATGTTAGAATATTTTTCAAAATAAATTATAGATAAATGTGAAGCATGACATGGAGAGGCATACAATTAGAATTAAGTGCTATTTGATTTAAATATTGGGGGTGGGGGAGGTAGATGGTGACATCATCCGCAGACATGGGGTTAACTTCCACATGTATGCGGATGACACCCAACTCTACCTTTCCTCCTCTACCCTCAACTCCATGACCACCGATGTCCTGACAGCTGCCTGTCTGACATCGAGCCCTGGACGAGAGACAACTTGCTTCAGCCTTGCTCCCTCCTACCTCTCTAACCTACTATCCCCCTACTTACCTGCCCGTACCCTCCGTTCCTCTGGCTCCGGTCTGCTCCACGTCCCCCGCCCCAACCGCTTTACCATCGGTGGTCGGGCCTTCAGCCCCGAGGCTCTGGAACTCTATCCCCCAGTGCCTTCGCCGCCTCCTCCCTTTCCTCCTTCAAGGCCGGTCTCAAGACCTTTCTCTTCGACCGTGCTTTCAACTTCCCTCTCGACTCTCTACCCCCTCCTCGCTCCCTCCCTTCCCTCCCCTCACCCTGACCATTTCCCCCCTGCTCGGGTCCCGACCCAACTGTCCAGCGCCTTGGGACGTCCTCCCGACGTGAAAGGCGCTCTATAAATGTAATCTTGTTGTTGTTGTTGTAGATCTCACATCTGAAGAATTTTTTAAAATTATCTCACTTATAATTCTTTTCAGTCCATTTTGAAGGAATTGAGTTAATTATAGTTCAGTGTGATGTAGCAAATAAAACTCCTATGAAAATTATATTTTAGGAACATCTTATGGATTGAATAATATAACCATTATTAAAATGTATTCAGAAATACATTGATAGGACTGTTCATTTTGCTGGATAGCCCCCATCAATATAATGGGAAGAAAAATAGTAACATTTAGCTTTGTTTGTATAATACTTTGCTGGGCAAAGTGAGTATATACTGCAATGTTTTTTGAGTGCTAAATTGCATCTAGTTATTGCTCATTTTAAAGTCCTTTCATTGCATTATACTTCTAGTTACATAGCACTTTTGAGATATAAAGTGCAAAGGCAGAATGTTTATGGAAAGCATACCAGCTCGTTCCAGCAACAACCTGATGACTGGTCAAAGTCATACGACAAGCCAGGCTGTGAAAATTTGACAGTGTCCTGTTGGTAATATTATTGATTGTTGCCCAAGTCAGTTATTTTGTGGCCAAATAACTGTAAAATCCTGTGTGCACTTTGCAGTTCTGTGAAGGTTACTTTTGCAACTAATTATGTGTATTGGCTGAATGGCAAAGGAATGCTTACAGTCTAGTAGAATTATCGTCATTCTCAGAATTATCTGTCTCATCGTTCTCATTAAGGAGATCATATTTAAATATAAGTTACAGTTTAGGTACAATGCCTTCCAAAGTATTTGGTAGAAAATACAAACAAGCAAATTTCTGACAGCTGGGACTTTTAAATTGCAAAGAAAAGTACATAACTGATTTTTTTTATTGGAGAAAAGCATAATGGAAGGGATTGACCTTCAAGTCCAATATTTACAACTTTGAAGTGAAACTAGGGGCAAGAGTTTACATCCTCCCTGGAGGATGCAGAACAAACTGAGCAAATGTACTTAATGTTGATTAACTTTTTTTAAAAATAAATTGGGTTAGAATTTAAATTGGAGGTTCTAAATATTAGACTTTAGATTCGTTATTCCAAGGGATTCAATTGTTTCTTTGCAAAACCATAAACAAATTTACTTTGGAAATTTACAGCACAGAAGAAAGCCATTTATTTAGCCAATTGTCAACTGTGGTTAGAAATTACCAAGGCTGAATCATGCAGATTGATAGATATTCTGTAACTTACTTGTTCTTGGGGAGGTGGAACTGGAGACAAGTTATTCAAAATGGGAGATGAATCAATGCTTCAAAAAAAGAATATTACGGGGCATAGGGTAGTGAGAGGAGAAAAACAGCAGCACACACTTGATGCACTGAATGGCCTGGTTCTGGACTACAGCGTTCTATAATTCTAAATAATATTCATTCCATAAATGAGATAGAGTCTGTAGTTGACTATTTTAAACCTTTTGTAGAAAGAGAAACTGTGTGTTTAATGATTTGTCATACTTTCTTGTGTTTACAAAGGGCACATAACAATATTAGAATTTTTATAAAATCTTAATTTAGTGTCCAATGCAGATCATTTTGCTAAAGTCCAAGTTAACAATAATTTTTTCCCCCATAGGGATTATCAGTAATTGATATTTACTAAAGGGTTATTGTGTATTTGTAGTACCACATGCCTATAATATGTCACTTTTATCCACAGACAATTGAAATGATTGAAAAGGAACAAAGGGAAGTTGAAAGACGACCAATCACAAAAATAACCCACAAGGGAGAGATAGAAATTGAGAGTGAAGCACCACCGAAAGAACCTGAAACTGTGGTTGTAGAGGTAAAAATGAAGTCCCTGATAGCGCAAATAATTACAGAACATGTCAATGAGAATTTGCGAGGTACCTATCAAATGTACTCAAGTGAAGATCATTTGGCCCATTGTGACTGTGATTGCTCTTTGAGAGAGCAAACCATTCAATCCCATTTAAGGCCTTTGTCCTATACAATGGTAAATTGAATCTTTTTTTACATACCTATCTACAACAACAACAAGATTGCATTTTTAGAGTGCCTTTCACGTCGGGAAGACGTCCCAAGGCGCTATCTAGTTGCTTCTTGAAACCTAATATGGGTCGTGCCTTGACCACCCCTCCCAATTCCATATCCTAATAAATCTGTATAAAAAATCTAATCTCCCCCTTTGCTCTTTTGCTGTTTATCTTAAGTTGATACCCTCCAGTTACTGACTCACCAACCAATGGATATGAGATGAGCTGCATGTATTCCTATTTGCATGAAATTGCAATGACCTGAGTAAATGTTGGTGAATTTTGTTAGGAGGATGAGCCAAAGGTTGTGGAACCAAAGCCAGTTGTTGAGAAATTGGAAGATAATGATGAAGAGACCACTGTGGAAGATGTGAATGACACGACATGTCATCACAAAAAACACCTATTTGATCTGAATTGCAAAATCTGCACAGGTAAGTGGGGTTTCCAGTTTTCAAGTGTGGAGAATTTTTTTTATGATTCGGTGCAGAAAGGGGGCTTGGAGTCCTATAGCGTATCGGTTAGAGCACTCGCAAGTGAGAGGCTCTGAGTTTGATTCCCGGGCAGGGTGAAACCCGAGGCAAGTTTCCATACTCCACTCTGTTTACCTTGCAGTAAGTATGGAACCCGGTGTTGTTTGGTAGATCATTCTCCCAGGGGTAATAATCCCTTCAAAATAAATGAATAATTTGGTTGCACAATCTCCAACACTTTGTGCACAATTGGTTCCCGTGTTTCGCCCACAAAATGCACAGTCAATTCACTTTACAGTATATTCTGTGAAGCGGTTTGAGATGTTTAAACAGCGTGATAAGGCACTATATCAAAGGCAAAGATTATTATTATTGTTGGGAAATTGGGTAAATGATTTATTTACAAGCATGGTATTATGTTTTTATTAATTTACATTGGAAGACACCCAAAACATAGTAAGGAAAAGAATATATATCTTTCTGATCCCGCTCTCAGAAACTTCATCCCAGAATCCTTCTACCTCATCCCCTCCGTCGCTCCCCACATTTGAAGCGTACCTTAAGACCTTTTCGACCACATTTTGTGTTACCTTTATCTCCCCACCTCCCTGTATCCCAGCTGGGGCTCCCGGTCAGCTGTCCTCATGAAAGCAACTCAACCCATTGACGTTCACTGCGACTACAAAATGTATTATTTAACTGTTATTGTTTATTTATTATGGAAATTAATCAGTTAGGCTTTTGTAAACACCAGTTAGTCTGCTGGGTTGGTTGCTTTTGTCAGTTTAAGGAGACTTATTGGAGTAAAGCTCTTTTCAATTTATGTGTGCTTTAGCTACTTTTTATTTTAAAGAGGTTCAAAAGATATGCATCATTGGTCAAGTCATTATACCAGTCTTTGTTTACAAAGTTGGTAGCATAATAACTAACGTCGCTGCCAAGCAACAGTGCACATAACATTTCAGACCACTGCAACACCACTGAGGTCCTGCCGTGGTGACGTTAAGATATTAGAGCCCAGTGTAACCGAACAGCACCATGAGCAGGAGCCCAGTGATCCTGCAATGCCTTTATGGTTATACAGGTGGTAAAATGGTAAAGATAAAGGTTTTATATCTGAATCTGAGCTGAATGTGATAATAGTTTTCTAACTTCCCCTCATTTCAAACTTTGTAAAATATTAGGGCAACATGACTTTCATTGGAAGAAATTAGAAAGACACCAAACTGAAACAAGTGATGCAAAGTGACAGCGATTAAAACTATATGTCCATTAATTTACAGAGTGATTTTAAAGACAAGGTTTGGGTTGGGATGAGATTGTGGAGCCCTGTAGAGTAGTGGGTAGCACTTGCTTAGCTAATGAGAGAACCTGGATTCGATTGTCGGGCAGTGCAAAACCTTGGGCAAGTTTCCTTATTCCACACGCCTCTGTTTACCTAGCAGAAAGTAGAACCCGGTTGATAGTCGATTGGTGGATCACTTTCCTGGGGTAATAATCCCCTAAAAATAATAATAATTTGGTAACTGAATCCCTGACTGTAGGACACTGCTGTGTACTACAATTGATTGCCTCGTTTCACGGTCTTTATAATGTATTCTGTGAAGCACTTTGAGACATCTCAATGACATGATAAGGCGCTATATCAAATGCAAGCACAATTATTATTATTTCTTGAAATCCTGTTTGTATTTAGGTCGCATGGCTCCACCCGTTGAGGAACTGTCTCCCCCCAAAGTGAAAGTGGCTTCAAGTGTGACAAGACGGCAGTCAGAGATTGAAGTAGAACCTAACCTTTTAGCAGATGCTCTTCCCTCTGCTTCTAGCATTTTGCCTTTTGATATGACAGTTGAAGAGAGACCAGAATCATCACAACCATCTGTGTCCAGGTAAAATATAAATATATATGATTTATAATTCCATTGACCATTGTGGCCCATTTATAGAGTCCTGTATAGTATTGATTTGAGCACCTGCCTCACAAACGAAAGGACCCGGGTTCGATTCCCAAGCAGGGCAAAACCTTAGGCAAGTTTTCTTACTCCACACGCCTCCGTTCACCTAGCAGTAAGTGGGAACCTGGTTGTTAGTCGTTTGACTGATTGCTTTCTGGGGGGGTAATCCTTTTTTTAAATAAAGTATAATAATAATTTGGTCACTCAAACCACGACTGTTTGTGGGACACAGCTATGCGCAATTGGCTACCACGTTTTGTCCACAAAATATAGACAATTCACTTGACAGTATATTCTGTGAAGCACTTTGAGACATCTCGACGACATGATAAGGCTCTCCATATCACATGCAAGGATCATTATTGTATAGCTGGTCCTAAAACTGACAGTTGACTCTTAAGTACAGGTTGGACGAATAGCTAATGGGCTAACTGAGTGAAGTATTGTATTGTATCTGATTATGTAAAAATTTCCCACTGAGTAAAACTAATCTACATTCTAGTTGTATGGTTTACAGAACTTGACTATCCTCCTTGGGAGGAAGGTAAGCGGAGTGTCCTTGGAGCTGAATTGGCTCCCCGGTAGTGTGAATGAAATGTTGGAATCAAATCAAACCGATATGGCTGTCTCACAAGTCCAGTTCCTGAGCCACATGTACTCTGGCCCATAATACTCCAGAGGCCCATAGTACTGCTGAGGAGACTAGCCAACACGGTTCATCAAAATAATTGGAGGGGCAGACCAATCACCAATCGCGGGATTCTTCCCGCTCAGTTCCTGATAATCCTGCACGTCATCCCTAAGCGGTAGGGTGGTTCCAGCTGGACAAGCACTGGAAGGCATGACAGTGCCTTTAATGACAAGCTATGCATTTTTAGCTGTTTAAATTCTATCAGTACTCCCAACGCACATTTTGGAGTCTCTGAGTCTTATCTTGCCAATTGCACTGAATACTCTTCAGAATAAGGTAAGCAGGATGAGTTCCTCTGGGGAGAGAGTCTGCATTCCATTCCAGAAATTTCCCTGTCAGGATATTAGAAAATTTATTGGATATCATTTTTCATGTTTGCGACCATTCGTCCTTGAAACTGTCACTTGATCTAATTGGTGTAGATTATAAATAAATCTGGTTTCAGTAAGGTAAACTTATGTGGGCATTCATTTCGTGTTTTTGTGCTTAACATTTTTTTCAGGTCCGATACATTGGATGCTCCAGAGGACGAATCAAGATTTCTGGCTCGATTAGATTCTCTCTGGAAGGGATTTGTCAATATGCACAGCGTGGCAAAGTTTGTCACTAAAGCTTACCCTGTCTCCGGCTCAGTTGAACACCTAACCGAGGTATTGTTTCCATTTTGTTTAATCGTTAGCTTTAAAAACACGATAAAGCTTTATTTTTTTTTCTTTGCATTTATCAGTAGTGTTATATTTTCAGTGTTTTTATCAGTGTACGTGTAAATCTAACAATACTATATATCCAGGAGCACAGCACAGAACATCACTGTTATAATGTGCCCATCTGGGTCCAATGTCTCATGTCCGTGTTATAACAAAGCACACAAAATTGTCTGACATCTGGGTCAGTTTGCTGGTCACCCGATTAACTGTGCAAGTGCAGGAAGCACTGGTGATGTTTTTTCCTTCATGAAGTAATATCAACACAGCACAGAGGAAGAGACATCGGAAGTGACCTGACGACCTGGAATTAGGGCATTTTTCCATGCCTCAGGTCAGTTAGATTTTGGACCCAACTGACTTATAACAAGGTTTTTCTGCATTATTTACTTTTTTTAGTTAGAGACTTCAATATATCATCTAATGTTACAGCAATCACTGCCAAGTGTAGTGAATGTTTTGTGAACCAATGAAGCAGCCTTTTTGTGCAGAGTAAGGCCCAGCAAACAGCAATGATATGAATAACCAATCTGGAGAATGTTGGCCTGTTTAGCACAGGAAATTAAAAAGTCTAAAGCGCTTGGCAACGAAAGTATACCAGGAGTGCCAGGTTTTGCAAAATTATGAAATTAAAACATTTGCAAAATTGTTCTTTAATTTGAATGTAATGGATCGTAGACAACATGACTGAAGTTCAACTGAATTAACCGTTGATTTCTGTACCCTGTGACATTGATGCTATCAGATCAATTTAGTACGATCAATTCTATGTGAGATGATAGATTTGAACCAAGTTGTTTCTTAATCTGTTGTTGTGACTCTCTTCATATTGAATAAGATACAGTGGTATTATACAGTGACAATAATTTAGAGCTACAGTAGTATATTCTGGAACAGCATTCAGATTGAAACAAGCGAGGTAATAATAACATTTTATTTTTTCCCAAAAGAGAATTGAATTATTATAGGGCTGTCCTGTTGACTCGATAGGTAAATGTTGCATATGGAATAGGCAAACAAAATAGGAAGGACCCGGTTTTAATGTCCGGTTTGTGCTGTTAACTGATCGTGTTCCAGGTTTCAAATGGCTTTAAATATCCCTGAGTTCCTGTATTAGATTACTACTGACCTATGATCCATGCTGAAAGTCACGTAGGTGTAAAAGTTTGGTGTGGGTCTGATAAGGATTAGCTGTGAGGTCATTTAGTCATGGTTGAACAGTTTCTGGCACTCACTGCTAATATCAAACGTGAGGAATAATCATTAGGGTGAGATAGTATGATCCCCAGGGAAACCTATCCAATAGCACAGTTCTGGATCATGGAATGGTGGGCAGGTGTTCACTCTTATAATCTTCATGTCACATCAGCAACCTATCACTATCAAGCTATCCACACCAGACTGAGAGCTCAGCGTAGGTATGCCACCCATTGACATTTCCCTGTGCCTGGAATGGAATATGCCTTCTCTCCCTGGAGGGTCAGCCCCCACTTGCCTAAACCCAGAGAGTATTAGGTGCAGGTTAACAAGAGCCAAGGCTCAGGGCCGCCAGAGTGTGTGTTGGGATACGCTGGAGGCTAACCAGCTAATAAGAGAGAGTGTGAAATGAATGTAAAAAATGATTCCTGTTTTTTTGCCATTCAAATAGGATTTACCAGATACTATCCAAGTAGGGGGAAGGATTCCCCCTCAAACGGTTTGGGACTATGTGGACAAGATAAAAGCTTCAGGAACTAAGGTAAGCTTGAACATTAGTTTGACACAGTGGTTCAGAACCCAATGAGTGCCTAGGCTGGGAGAACCAATAGTTGGGGTACTGCTGGAATTTAACCAGCTAAACTACATAGCTTACCATTGAGAGCATTGTGGCAATCTTGGATAGAGTGGTCCTTGCTGGAAAGCTTGCCAGACAGTGCTATCAATGGTAAGTAAGCTATGTATTTTTAGCTAGTTGGACTCCAGCAGTACCCTAACGCAGATTCTGGGCTCCCCAAACCTTAGCTCTTGCCAACCTGCTCCTTATACTTTATGGAATTAGGTAAACGGGATGCGTCCCTCCAGGGAGAGAGTGCGCATTCTGTTCCAATAATCTATTTCTGGAATTTCATGTGTAGGTGGAATGTGTGGAATTCTCCAGAACTAAAAATATTGAGGCCAATAATTAATAATTAGATAAGTCAGCCTGGTTTGCATAGTCCTAAGCATGTTGATGGGTTTCTACATGTGTCAGACACCCAGCTGACCACCCCAAAAAGATACTGGTAGAATTTGGGGCCTCTGATGTTTAGTGTCCTAAGGTGACTTGTCTTCTGTTGTTTCCTGTCACGACAGCTACACAGAGATCAGTAACTCAACATGTGGAAATCCATGGTTGCAGACCCGTTTCCTCCTACATCTTGGTACAACACAGGCTTGAAATAATCTTGTGCACATTTTAATGAAAATGCATCAGATTGCTAATCAGGGTTTCAATGCAACAGCAACAATTTGACATTTGAAAAACCCTCCTTCATGTTGGGGAGTGGTCTCAAATTCCTTTAGAGAGCGGACTGAGAGCTGGAACTGGGGGTGGGGGGAGTGTAAAGTGACCAAAAGCCTAGTCGGAGATGAAGTGGGCTTTAATATAATGCAGTATTTGGGATGTAGAATTAAATGAATCACAGGTGGGTTACTTATAGTGTTTAATGGTGTCCCATTTTCTTCATGCTTTTAACAGGAGATCTGTGTGATTCGCTTTGCTCCAGTAACTGAAGAAGATCAGATAACATACACCTCATTGTACGCATACTTCAGTAGCAGGCAGCGCTATGGAGTAGTAGCCAACAATGTGAAGCAGGTTAAAGACATGTATCTCATTCCATTGGGTCTCTCGGAAAAAATTCCTTACAGGTTATTGCCGTTTGATGGCCCCGGTGAGTTTCTCTGCTGGCAAATGTCTTTGTTTATTTTCACTTGTGATGAATGTAGTAACAATTCAAATTCAAATCCATAGCTAGCACATGCATCTCCAGTTATAATAATGATTCTTTTTTCAATTTACACTGGAATTTTAAACAGATTAATTGGAAAATGGCAAACACAATAATGAATATAAAGAATAATAATAAATAATCCTTGTTTTTGACATAGCGCTTTTCAAGTCCTCAAGATATCTCAAAGGACTTCACAAGGATATACTGTTAAGTGGATTGACTGTATTTTGTGGGGAACATGTGGCAGCCAATTTCGACACAGCAATGTCACAAACAGCTATGAAGTGAATAGCCATTTTTTATTTAAAAATAGTTTTTTTTAATAAATTAATCAATTTATTGTTTTTAAAAAGAAGTCATGTAGCCCATCTTTAAACTATTTTTTTCCCTCATTCCTTTTTTTAACCCCCCCAATGATAAATCACAATCACTGTCCTTCACAGTAAAATCCTGACACAAAAAATCATCATCAAAAACCCGAAATCCATTTTCATTGCAGTTGTGTGCCACCATAGTGCATAAAATTGATTGTAGTCATGTTACCCACTGCCCAATTATTGTGAAATGCCAAAAGACATAATAATAACTTGATAGTTTCTGTATGATTGAGTAGCAATAATAGATCTGCTTTGAAAGAAGCAGTCTCAGACAGAATGATAGCCCTGAGGCATTTCATTAGAATTATGTTTTTGTGGTTTAATTGCATATTTCAATATAATTTACATGATTGCATCAAGTATTTGACAACTGCAAAGAAAATTGCCTTCTATCTTCAAAACCGTATAATTTTTTGTGTCGTTGATGGTGTTCACCTTTGAGTTCATTCTTCGATTTTCTATCCAATGCTTAAATCTTTCAAGTTGTTGTTGCTGTTATTAAACGCAAAACAATTTATAGTTTTTTTTTCTTTGCTTAAGTAAATGCAGCATAATTTTAATGTATCGACCATTGTTTTATTACCACCTGACAGGTCTAGAGTTAGCTCGCCAGAATCTTCTCCTTGGATTGATAATACGGCAAAGGATAAAAAAGTTGCACAGTACCTCAGTTTCTGAAGAAGCATCAGAATCTGACAAGGCGGTTGGTAACGTCCCTCAAGAGAAGAAAAGCAAAGTTGAGTATGTTAATGATGAAGATGAAGTTGATGATGAAGATGAGAACCAATTCTTTAATTCCTTCACTTCTGTCCTGGCTAAATTTAGAAGCAAGCCCAAGCAATTGCCACCAGTTGTGGAACCTCAGATTCCCAAACCACCTGTTGAAATACCAATAGAGCCTGTTATTATTCCATCCACAAAACCCTTAAGATTTCTACCTGGAGTTTTGGTTGGTTGGGAAAATCAGCCCGATTCTCTTGAACTGCCCGACAAACCGCTGGATGATATTCTTCAGAGTTTATTAGGAGAGGCCAATAAAGAAATTGAGCAATTACCCATGTCTGGTCTTGGACCTGATTTGGGAGAACCTGCAACTGATGACAAGACAGATCCGGAAATATTGGAAAAATTACTTCCTGATAAAACCAGTGAAGATCAAGGTCCCGTAGAGAGTAAGTTGGAAGATGATCAAGAGGAAACTGAGCAGCCTAATAAAGATTTGTTGGAGGATACCAACGTTGAAGCAAATTCAAAGGCAGACGAGTGTTATCCAGCTCTTACTCTCAAAGACAAGCCACCGGATGTTCCGACGGAAATATTTCTTTCAAGTCTGGCACCTCTGAAGTCCCAACCGCCGGATCAGAAGGAAGAGCAGGAGAAACTTCGGCATCAGTTTAAGGTGAAAAAGGTTAAAGTGGAGAACTCAAAAGAACAAAAAGAAGATTTAAATGCTTCCACATCTCAACCTGTGACTCCCATACCTGATTTAGCATTATCTGAGCCCACTACCAATGATGAAGAGGTGGTAGATTCTGCACAAGGAGCTAGTCCTTCTGTTCTGGCAAATGTTTCTCCTGAATCTGCTCAAATTTCCAGAGTTGCTCAGTTACTAAACCTCTGCAGGGATCCACGCCAGGCAGCTGGTCGCAACCAACAAAGTAATTCTGCAATAGGCAAGCCTGTGGAAGAAAAGAGTACAGGAGAACAACAACTGGATAACTCTGGGGATAATACTGTCGATAAGAGCTTGCACAAGGAAGATGGAGAAGATAATAGTGACAACCTCTTGGAACCTGAAGAAGGAGAATGGACAATAACTGACGGTGCAGATGAACCGGTGCAAGAGTCCATTGAACAGGGACCAGGAAAAATGTGTCACACTGCGCTGATTGCTAGGTCACGCTTTCAGCTCATATCAAATCCAACAAGACAAACAGAAATTCTACGTTCACTGCATAAGGGAGAAGGTCAGCATACCCCAAACACCATACAAACACATACCATTGAAACTGTGCAGTCAATTCGAAGAGAACTTCCTCCAGGAACTCCTCTCCTTGGGCCACACCCTGGCGCTCACTTTGATTTTGCCTCCCAACTCATTGCCAACCACAACCAATCTCATGGGCCAACAGTTTCAACAGTATTGCAAGGCGGTGGCTCTTCAATGAATCCAGCAGCCGGCAGAGGCAACTACCCTCCATCACTACTTGAGCTGCGTACCTTTCCGCAACTTCAAGGCAATTCTGGCTTTCCATTTCAAGGAGGCCTCCTTAATGCAAATTTCCAAACACAAGGTAATTCCATGCCTTCATTTATGTCTGGCCGGCCCCCGCCTCTACTTCCATCACCATATCGTCTTCAAAATCCTCATTTGAGGTTTCATTCTCCAGACCCTGGTGCAGCACATGCCTTACTCCCAAACCATATGGTGCCTTGGCCACCACCGATCCCTTGTCTACCGCACCACCATATGGGGCTTATGCATCTCGGAGCTGGGCAAACAATGCCATCTTTCCCTGCTGACCATTCAAATGATGCTAACAGGTATATACCAAATTCAGGAACACCAAATTTTCAGCCCATCAAGGATGATCACAGACAAGATCATTGGGATAGACATAGCCAACGGTCAGAATCTAGTCTTAGCAAAGACCGAGGCAGTCGCCATAGACAAAGGCTTTATAGTGAATCTTACCATCGAAGAAAGGACAGGCATAAGGAAAGAGAAAGAGAGCGGGATAGTTATTGGGAACGAGATAGGGACAAATACAAAGAAAAGGATAGAGATAAAGAAAGAGACCGAGATCGAGAGAGGAGAAGTCAGGATAGGCATAGAGACAAAGATCGTGACCGACATAGGGAACGTGAACGAAGCCGTGATGGCATGGACTCAAAGAGAGAACGGAGCAAAGAAAGAGATCGGGGGAGATCTGAAAATGACGATAGTGACCAGGAGCGGGGAAAGGGAAGAAGCAGGGACAAGGACAGAGAGAAGGTCCATGAAAAGGAAAAAGATGCGGAAAGAGATCGACAACACAGGGGTAAAGACCACGATAAAAGGGACCGCAGTGACAGAAGCAAACGCAGGAAGAGAAGGAGTTCTTCGGAGTCGAATACGGACTGAAGCTTCCGAACTGAACCAAAAAATTGAATCTGTTCACTCTGTCCTGATGTTTGGGAGGAGAAATGATTGGTATTTCTGTACTTGTCCACTGGGATACCACTTCATGTCACTAAGTTGCGAAAATATGATTTTACTAGTGTGTTCTCATGTACAACATCCAGTATTTGCAACCATGTCTTGCTGCTCTTAAATGCTCTTTAAAAACTAATTAACAAAATAAGCTGGCAGTACAACTTTTTAAGTAGAGAATACTTATGACTTTATGATTACTCGCCAAACAAATAATACAAGCATGAGCTATTGTACATGTCAAAATTGAAAACTTAAAAAAAAATAAAAACTGCAGCTGTGACTATTGTGCAGATTTTGTCTCTTTTTAAAAAAAATAATGTATGCTTTGTAGGAAATTTGCGGTGGAGCACTTTCAAATTATTACACAAAGAAATATCATGGTCTTTGAATCAGTTGTGGTTGTAAATTTCCAAGGGTTTATGTTGTACTTCCATTTTAATCGAATAATTCCATTCGCAAGAGTTGGCTGTTTAATATTGCGCTGTTTTGATGCTGTTAGAAAACACTCATTACAATGCAAGTGTTGTATTAACATTTTAGATAGAACACATTCGCAATACAAACAAACATATTTGACTACATTTTGTAAAATTGCCATGTTGGGTATTATTTGTTGCTTCAACAATTTAGATTATCGCTTGTATACTACCTTTTCTGTTTCGTTCATCAATCTTTCTACTGATGAAGCTCAGTGTAAATATTTTAAATGATGTTTTCATTGTAAATGATTATAAAAAAAACGGATTTTCTTCACAATATCTTTGTGTTTGGCTTTATTTTCACAAGTCCAGAATGATTTGGAACTTTTTCCCGCACTAGGTTCTGTGACCCTATCACCCACACTCTCGCCCGGCTCCACTGGCTCCCCATTCCCCAGAGGATAGAGTTCAAAATCCTCGTCCTTGTCTTCAAAGCCCTGCATGGCATTGCTCCTTCCCACCTCTGTGACCTCCGCTCAGCAGGCTCCAGCCTGCTCCACGTCCCAACCCTGCCCTCCACCTCTCCTGATCCCAACCCTAGCTTGGATCCAAATATCTGACTGTCCAATGCCTTAGGACCTTCCCCCTCCCCCCTGACGTGAAAGGCACTATAGAAATGTAACGTATTTTCTATTACAATAAATTCAAAGATGCTTTGGATCGGTGAGATTTTCATACAAAATCACAATGGACTGGATCAGCAAAAATACTTTCACCTTTGCTCCCCGAGCTCATCTCAATTTCAGATCGATGGGATGGAATTTTTTTACACTGAGGAAAGTGAGTTTTGGTATCTGAATCTACTTCCTATTGAGCACAAAGTACAATGTGTATTAAATAAGGTGCTTTGTTTAGATAGGGCACAGGATAACTGGTGGTTAGAAAAAATGTTATTGAGTCAATGTAGCTCTGCCTTACATTGTAAGCCTGGGGTGAATAATTCACTCAGTCCTTGGTAAGCACAACAATTTTTTTTAAAAAAAAGTCATAATAATTAGGGCAGGAGAGAATTATGAAAATCTTAATGACAGCTTTGTGCACGCGTGTTTATTTCAAGCTACTATTCGAAGAATATTCCATTGATATAGCCAGAGGAGCAAATGGCAAAAAGTGATTGTCCTCATAGATTATCTCAATACCATTGGTTGAGCTGGTTGCCCTAAATGGCCTTTCCAGTCTCTAAAATGTCTAGAAAAGTAAAATACATATGTAATCCTGTCCATGCAATTACTCCCCCTAGAGTAGAAATGCAGAAAACTGGCTTCCAAATTACAGCTAAATTTCCTCAAATTCTGAGCAATCTTTAATTTAAAACCACTGATTCTGAGTTTGTGACCACACTTTTGTACATCCAATGCTTGTAATCCACCTTGGATGGTTTGTAGACAGCTTCTGCTGCTGCTCAAGCACCTCCTACTGGTGGAACCACGACTCGATGGGAAGGGATGTATGTCTGAGCTGTGGGCAGAAAGATGGTTGCAATGCTTTCATGCATTTCATCAGATGTGTCATGAGGAGTTCCTGGTAACTGACAACCACCCACTGAGGGCTTCAACCTGCACTTGTCGGATGTCAAAGGACCTATTAGTGATTATCGTCGGGGTTGGGGAGCGTCACGGAGGTAATCGCGGTCTCCTTGGAGCTGAACTAGCCCTTGCTAACCTGAGTCGAATACTCTACGGAATTAGGTGGGCAGGATGTCCCCCTTCAGGGAAAGAGTGCACGTTCCATTCCAATACATAGCTGGAATTTCCACGTGTAGGTGGGATGCATGGAATTCTTGCTTGGTTTGGATACTCTAAGCATGGTGATGGGTTTCCGCATGTGTCAGACACCCGGCTGGCCCAAAAAAACACTAACCACGGCATCTGAACGCTGGCTTTGGGGAATCTGGAGAGGAGTTCTGATTTCTCAGTTGGCACGTATGTTGAATGGAGATGGATTTCATAAGCTTTTATTGTCCTTCGGTGTGGATTAGCTGTAGTGAAAGTTTCCACCTAATAAATCTGTCTTGAAATTTGGAGACCATTACCCAAATGATGGATTTGAAGTGGGGTTAATTACATAGTAATCAAATACTCCTCTTAAATGTCCTTGACACCGTTGACCACTCTATCCTCTACTGCCTCACCTCACCTCACCATTCATGTAATTTGTTGCTGTCTCCCTATTCCTCTTTGAAAGCCTTTACTTATAATGTGCACCTAACAGCAGTTGAGGAATTTGGAGCTTGGAACGACGGTTGCTGGAAGGTGTACTTGGAGTCCAAGTTTGTGAACGAACACACATTTGTGTATCTTGGGCTTGGAATCCATCTTGATTGGTAATGCAGAGATAAGTAGCTGCTGCTGAAGCTCTGCATCTCTAACTGGTGGAACCATTGCTCAATTTGTAGGGATGTGTACAGGAAACTCACAGGGAATTCTGTCATCTGCCGTCCATCTAGTCAGGGCTCAAACCTGCACTTGTCAGAAGTCAAATGACCAACAAGTGATTATCACCAACACACAAAAAAAAGACTAAGGATTGAACCCAGGACTTTCCCAGTCCAGTAATAATAATCCTTGCATTTGATATAGCGCTTTTCATGTTTCTAGACGTCTCGAAAGCGCTTCATAGAATATGCTGTAAGGTGAATATTTTGTGGGCACAACGCAGCAGCCAATTGCGCACAGCAGTGTTCGACAAACAGCCGTGGATTGAGTGACCAAATTATTATGGTTTTTTTTGAGAGATTATTATCAGGCGTGTGGAGTCAGGAAACTTGCCCAAGGTTTCGCTCTGCCAGGAATCAAACCCGGGTCTGCAGCTTGCGAGGCGAGTGCTCTAACCACTGAGCTGCAGGACTCCTGGTAGGAATTGAATTTCACTCTAGTTGGTGGCTTTATCAACTGTGCCAGAGCGGTTGCGATCTCTAGTGCTTATCACTCTTAGAGAGATAATATACTCTTAAATAAAGAATGGATGTGCTGCCATACATTTTCCCATTATGTGAGCTGACTCACCTCATAGTCTATGGCTGACGTAGCTGATCAGTCATTGATACTGCTGAAAATTATGACGCGGGATGCACATGCTTAGTTTTCTCCCAACGAAGGAATCTTTATTTGAACAAAGGAACCTATAAAACGACATCTTCTAAACAACATTATCTGAATCGCAACAAAATAAATTTTTCAACAGTGAGGCTATTGCAATATTTCGAAGCCCCTACCGACTTTACCGACTTAAAATCCTAAGTAACATTTAAGGCTACTTTTCCAGTTTGAGAAATCTCGAGGTTTCCGCTAAGCATATATAATCTACACCAACTACAAACAACCAGCGCCTTGGGACATCCTCCCAAAATGAAAGGCGCTAGAGAAAGTTGCACATAATTTTGTGGCTGTTATAATCTTAAGAGAAGACTATTGCATTTTTGGGGGTTTCTCAAAACAACTTTACAGACAGAACAGGCAAGAAAACACAAAATTATTGAGGTTTATAATAATAATAACATGTTCTAATTCATCGTTATTTAACACAACGCACTATTATTGCAGAACACTTAATGAGCATTTACAGAGACTATGTAAACGGTTCAGTTTTTCACGGTTTACATCGAAAACAGGAATTTTGACCTGTAACAAAGGTCAGATAGTCAATTTTGACAATAATTAAGTCAATTCTGATCAGCAAATTAATTCCTACTTTGGAGTCATGTAGCTCAGTGGTTAGAGCACTCGCTTTGCAAGCGAGAGACCTGAGTTCAATTCCAGGCAGAGGGCGAAACCTTGGGCAAGTTTCCTTACTCCACACAGAGCCTAATAATAATCCCTCCAAAACCAAAATCAATAATAAAACTGGTCACTTCAGTCCACGACTGTTTGCGGGACACTGCTGTGCGCAATTGGCTGCTGCATTTCGCCCACAAGTATACAGTCAATTCACTTTACAATCTCTTCTGTGAAGTGCTTTGAGACATCTTAAGACGTGAAAAACGCTATATCAAGTGCAAGAATTATTATTATTATTTAATTTTCCAAAGACCTGACACCTCCAGGAATATTGGACAAATCACGTCAACAAACCAGGATAGTGAAACGGCTAAATCACATCTCATTTCATTTATATAGGACCTGTTGCTTTAGCATTGCCTTAGTAACCCTAAATGTACCCAGATTTTCCCAATATATTTTTATTATTGCAATGAATCCATTATTTAAATAATATAGGGGTCAATCGCAGGGAACTTCATGACTTATGTTTTACATTATAACTTGCTGATCAGGCAACATGGGAACAGCTATGCAGATTTGTTCGCTCTTTGATTTCATAAATAGGGAGAATAATTTCGATGAACAGGCTCTTAAAGTTCATGATCTGCCATTTTACAGCTTCGTTTAATTTTACAGTCGTAACAAATATACAGGATTCAAAAAGCAGGCTGTTGTACAAGTACAGCTCATGTAAAAATCTCTACCATTGCAACAAAGCTTCAGATCACGTCTTTCATAAATGTTTATACAAGACGACAGACTCAGGAAAGATCTTCAGGCAACAACTTAATGAAAATCTTATCCCAAAATGTCACTGGGCTTAGTCATAGTACTGCAGAGAAAAATATTTTTGCCTCTTTACTAGGCTCATAATATCGTAAATCTACACCAGTCTCATAATTTACACTGCAGTATTGTCGACGGTGCCAATATTTTGGATGAGACATTGAACTGAGATCCCATCTACAGTGGACGCAGGTGGACGCCAAATATTGACGCTTTTGAAACGGAGAGGGAGTTTCCTGAAATCCTGGCCAACAATCTTCTGAATTACTGTAATCAGTCATTTACCTCATTGACTGTCTGTCGTACAGATTGGTTGCCATGATTGCTGGCAAAAGCAGTCATGCATTAAAATCACACGTGAAGAGCTTTGAGACTTGTGATAAGGCACTATAAAATGCACCTCTTTATAATTTGAATCGCTTGTGTACCTGTGCTGGGTAATTCGTGTGTTGAGCTAAAATTACCTGAGATGTTCACCTTGTAATTTATTTTGCAGAGGCAGCCAGCATTTAAGTGCAAAATTATACCCAAACTGACAGTCTGCAGTTCAATCTGTAATGTTATCAATTAAGCTCTTTAATATTTTACTGATATTTAATTTGTAAGTACAGCAGGTTCCACTTATTGTTTTCTTACTCCACACACACGCCTCTGTTTAGCAGTAAGTAGGAACCCGCTTGTTAGTTGATTGGCAGATCGCTTTCCGGGGGTAATAATCCCTTCAAAATAATAA